TCCAAATATGTGTTTCAGATATTTGCAGTTGCAACACGCTTGTAGAGCTCAGTTCCCTGACCCGATGACCATTGACTCAGACCGAGTTGAGCGTTTCTTAATGAAAGACAGGCTGCACAAACCTTCATCCTCTCTCTACCTCCGTTTGACCTGTGGGGGAGGGTCCCAGCTTGTGGCCCTTCAGGAGAAGTGGAGGGAGGATATACCCCTTCTGACGGAGGACCATTGGGAAACATGCGTCCAGACTTATGTGTCCACGGTATCTCTCCTAGGGAACGCTTCATACAGCTCAAATTCCTCCATAGAGGCTATTACACCCCTGCTAGATTAGCTAGAATATACCCTACGGCTGACGCGACTTGCGCTCGCTGCGCGGTTGAGGAGGGCACTTTCTTCCATATGGTGTGGTCCTGCTGTAGTCTTCGGCCCTACTGGGAATCGGTGGTATCTGCAGTTGGCGCGGTGACTGGTCTACAGTTGGAGGTGGACCCCTTGCTTTTCTTGATGGGATGTGGGGCACCTTACAAGCGCCTAGGGCCACGAAGCTCCTGGTATTTCATGTAGCTTTCTATTCCCGCAGGGAAATAATCCTGAGATGGAAGTTGGCTTCCCCCCCACGGTGGGGCAATGGTTACACACAGTTGATAGAATGCTCCCTCTCTACGGGCTGACATGCATGAGCCGTAATTGTGTACGCAAATTTGATCGCATTGTGGGTGACTGGGTGGCGGCTAGGGGACTTACCTTGGAGGGTCCGGGCGGAGAGACCTTGCTCCCGCATGTATCCCCTGAGCAGTGATCCAGCTGGGCGTTGATGGGGGACCTATGAGATCTTATTGCCGGGAACAGATGGGTTTCAGAACATGATCCCTGCAGGAGCTGTCTGCTCCAAGTGTCGGAGTTGTCCTTGTATAAACTATTCAACGGCGACAGCGACATTATTAACAAACTGTTTACGGTTAGCTCCGTAACAAAGACCAGAGGGCACCACCAAAAATTGGTAGAAAAAGAATTTCAACACACGGGGCGCAAGGGGTTCTTCTCAGTTAGCGAGGTTAGGGTCTGGAACTCGCTGCCGCAGGAAGTGATTTCAGCTAAGAGTGTGGAATCATTCAAGAAACTCCTGGACAAGTTCCTTGGTGACCGTAACATAAAGGGGTACCAGTACTCTTAAGAGCAAAATCACACATGGACTCATATACACGCACACACCTGTTCAAACATAAATGCACACACACAATAGGTTGGATTTGATGGACTTATGTCTTTATTCAACCTCAAATACTATGTAAACTATGTAAATATTGGTGAAATGTCGGGAATTCCACCAAAATGGGAAAATTCAGAGAGAAATTGAGAAACTTAAAAGGTTAAATTTAGGTTTAAAATTTAGTTGAGGGTTGTTTATGGGCGTTTTTTCCACATACTTTATAACAATAAAATGTACAAAAAAGAAACACAAACACAGTGTGCACTTTTTGTGTCTCTTTAAAATATTTATGTTGCACATGTTTTACTGTTTTGTTCTTACTTAAAAATGACTTTGTGTATTTTGTTTTTATTTGATGTTTTTGTGTCGTAAAATTTAAAGAGAAAGTACACATTTATTTTTTATTCTTGTGTTATCATATCCGCATGTTGTTGTTATATGTAAAAAAAAAAATAGATCAAATAACAATAAAATACACACAAATATACTGTCTAATATTTGTTATTTTTATTTGCTTTTCCGAAGAAAAAAAAAAGTCAAACAACAACAAAATATACACACATAAAAGGAAAAACAAAAAAATACACAAACATATCTAAAAACAGTTTTTAAAATACTAGGTGTTATTCCAATTTGAATGCATAAGTGGAAATACACTAAAGGTAAATTTTTAAGCTAATTTCACCTAAGCAGCTTGCATAACTGAACCCTGTATTATTCAGGGTTTATTCACCCCTATGTGGTTTACCCCTTGGTGCTTTTTTAATAAAAGTCAATGAAAACACATCAAAACACATTTGTCAGAGCACATCGACACAATAACTTCTGTTGTTACGCATTATTATTGCACATTGCAATGCACTTTGTATTGAATGTCAACTGGTAACATAATGGATATCAACACATGTCGTGATTGGTTGATGTGCATCATGACACATTGACATGTGCATTGAGGAGCTTCTGTGGATTTTCAGTGATAACGCATCTAGCCAAAACGCAAATGTGTGAATACAGCCTCAAGGTAGAATTAAAATAATATTAACCTTCTGAATATCTCACTGAAAGACCAAAAAAACTGAGATATAAAAGACGGACAGGTAGTTTATATCTCTGGTACATACGAGACATTGATTCCTAATTTCACCTTTTTGCCATGGGATAGCAGAAATTATTGCAGTCCAGTTTTTGAAATAGTTAATTTATAACAAAATTGCTCTGAAAGGTAGAAGTATGAAGACGCCATAAAAAGTAGATTTTTTTTCACAGAAAGGTTCAATTATGATGCTATATCATTGCTTGGCAATAGATACACACAGTTCCCAGAGGCGTAAAAAAACATGATTTTGATACCTTTTTCCCCCCCCAATATATACAACATTAAACCATTTCTGTTTTTCTTTTCAACTTACTATTAGTACCCCCTATGTATATGTATAGTACCCTCCATGTGTATGTATAGTACCCCCTATGTGTATGTATAGTACCCCCTATGTGTATGTATAGTACCCCCTATGTATATGTATAGTACCCCCTATGTGTATGTATAGTACCCCCTATGTGTATGTATAGTACCCCCCATGTGTTTGTAGAGTACCCCCTATGTGTATGTAGGGTCCCCCCCCCATGTATACGTATAGTACCCCCACCTTCTCCTCTGTAGGGTGTCCCGTCTCCTCTGAAGGTCTCCACAGACTGCTGATACACACTGACTCACCGGATAACGGATCCTCTGACCGACCCCCTCCCCCGATCCGGAGACTCCCCGCCCCGGGACCGGAGACCAGAGAGGCAGAAGAACACAAATCTGCTTCAATTCGTATTATGGCCCCCCCCCTCTCCTCACCTTGCGCGCTGGCTCGGTCCCGGGCGGTACTTCCTCCTCTGCCGAGCTTCCGGCAGCCGAGTCCAACTGCAATGGGAGAGGGGGGGAGGACGGAGGGGGTCATTGCTGGCGCCGGAGTCCCGGACCGAATCTCACTGGGCCACGCCCCCCCCCCGTTATGCTACTGTACTGGGTGACGGCCCCCCCATGCTATGCCACCGGGTGACGGGCCCCCCCTGGCCACGGCACTCGGGCAGTGCATTTCTTCGCTGGGCCCCCCCCAAGTGGCAGAATGCCAGGGCCCGGTCGCAATTGCGACCGCTGCGACCCTGGTAGTTCCGCCAGTGACAGTTCCTAATGAAGTAACATGCTGGATCAAAGGGACCCTGCTGCTTACACTTACCCATTGCGCTCCACCTGGTTTGTTCTGGTTCTAAGGCCCCATTCACACTCCGCGATATGCAAATCACGCGTTTGTCGCGCGATTTGCATTTTGCGCAATATCGCGAGATTTGCCGCGCGATATCGCGCAAATGCTTGCATTGAAAGCATTTGAATCGCGGCAAAATCCGCTCCAAAAAGGGTCCTGCTGTAGCGACACACGACCCGCGACAGCAGGACCCTTTGCCCCATTGAGAAGCATTGGAGAGCGATATCGCGCGGTAATTTGCCGCGATATCGCGGTAATTACCGCGCGATAAATCACTCAATGTGAACGGGGCCTTAAGCTCACACAGGGCTAATGACCTTTGTCTACCCCATTTTACAGCTCTCAGGCCTGGTGATTAGCTGAACACATGCCCAGTGCTGCATAGTGGGAGCAAGAGGTTGTATTAAGTAAATAGACACCCAACATGCCAAGCTTAAATATTGTGTGTGCCCGTGAAATGGCGACAAAATACGGTACCCCAAATTGTCCATAGGCGATGCTTTAAAATACTTTATGTCATCAGTTTAGAGTTAACTATGAATATTGGCCCCAGAATTATTACTTTTACTGTGGCACTTGAGAGATCCCTACCGTGTGGTGCAATCGATGTTTCATATGTAGGCACACCAGATGCATGTTTGCGTTAGTGTGAGTGTGTTTGCGGGGACTGGGGACATTAAAACATTTTTTTGGGGTATGTGTACATTTATTTTATTTCACTTTACTTATTTTTTACTTTTTTACTTAACTTCATTGCTATCACATATGGGGGCTCACATGATGGGGCTTCATTACTATCCCTTTAGGGGGCACACAAGCCCCCTATGTGATAGCACATTGAAGGTGACAGGTTCTCTTTAAGGTGACAGTAGGGGGTATATTGGATCTCTGATGTCGTCTTTGCAGCCCACTGAAGCTGATCAAGCAAGACCATGCTTGATCTGCTTCTTCCCCGGCCTCTCTAGCCGGAGAATGACAGCTCAGAAACCAGAAGTGATGCAATTAGCATCGCTTCCAGTTTCATTCAGCGAGAGGGAGATCAGCAAATGAACATTCGCTGGTCTCCCTCCCTGAAACCCGCCAACACCTTTGATGCCGGTCCCGGCCTGCAGGAGAGGCAGAGGAGCCCAGGAAGCAAGCGGGGGCTTCGGGTGTGGGGGGCACTGTTTACAGGCTGATTGAAGCTGATAAAGCACAGATCATGCTTGATCAGCTTTTTCTCTGGCCTCTCTAGCCGGGAAATGGCAGCTCACAAACCAGTAGTGATGCAATCAGCATCGCTATCGGTTTCATTCAGTGGGGAGGAGATCAGAGAGTGGACATTTGCTGGTCTAACTCCCTGCTACCCGCCAGCACCTACAATGCTGGTCCTGGGACCACAGGAGGGGCAGCAAAGCCTGGGAAGTAAGACAGGGGTGTTGTGTGTGTGGGAGGGGGGGGAACTGTTTACCAGCCCCTGGAAGCAATCTGACAGTTGTTCAGCCAACAGATTCGCTGCCAGCAATGAATGGCAGCAAAAGGGTTAAACCTGTACACAATTACAGTTCACCTGACCCTGACAACACAGTTTCTTTGCTGTTCATAGTCACAGCACCATGACAGTAAATATCCATAGATGACTCAATTGGGTTACCATGATCATCGTCTGTGATGTTCCTCTCATGCCGTCTTTGCAGAAAAGTACACCAACTTGTGAATGTGTATTTAAATCTGTCAGATGCATAACAGTACAATATGGGATCCATACAACAATTTGTTCCTGACATCATCCAAGTGATATAATAGGCAATCTCAATGTTTTCCAACAAAGAACAGGAAGTTGGGAAGAACAATATTATGGCGACTCCCATGGTCCTGGTGATATGAACCGGTATATAGCAGATAATGAAAATTATTAGGGAGATGAAGATTGTCTGCACTGACGTGGACACCATGACTTTGCTGAGGGTGTTTACTGGGTTAATTTTGAGGAGGTGTCGACTCAGTAGAGTGTAACAAACCAATGTTATGGAGAAAGGAATGAGGAGACCAGAGAAAAGGATGACACAGTTCCAAACAAAAAATAAAACTGCGTGTTCGGTTTGGTGGATGCTGAGACATTTTGTAACCCCGTGAACTTCAGAAGTTTTGAGGACAAAGAAAAATGGAATACCTTGGCATAGCAGACAACCCCAGACAAAGAGGCAAAGTTTTGTTATGAAAGGTTTTCTGGTCAAGGCTGGTCTTTTAATGTTGTGAGCAACAGAGAAATATCGGTGGATACTGATTAAGGTGAGGAAGTAAATGCTTCCATACATGTGAGTGCTGAGTAAGAAGACCTTGAACTGGCAGAAGAACAATCCATAGGTCCAGTGGTCAGTCAAGGAGTAGATAATGATCAGAGGAGCTGCTGGGGTGATGATGGCATCAGAGATGGCCAAGTTGAACTGGAGAACCACTGTCGAAGTCCAGTCTTTTACCTTGAACCAAAATATCCATAAACTGATGCAGTTCAGCACAAAGCCAATGAAGAAGATGAAGCTCAAGAAGATGGGAATGAAAGGGTTAATGTGTTGAGGCTGACAGCCACTCGAGTTTCCGGAGGAGTTCAACATCTCAAAAGCCTATGATATGAAAAGGAAACTTTTGCAGTTAAATAATTATTTGTCTAAGCAATGTTTTTTTCTTCAAATCTAGAATTACAGCCACTTAAAAAAATAGTATCTTCATTTTGTACCTACCAACTTGTGCTACTAATTAATAAAGGACAACTCACCAATTCACTTACTGAAAGGATGGGAAATAAGTGAAAAAGGAAAGAGAAAACACAAAGGTTTTTACTAACCTTGTTGTAAACAGGTCTGCAATATAACGTTTGGCTGTTCAGTACAGACTGGCAAGAGGTTCCTCTTCATGAACTGATATATATCTTTTCAGTACTTCTGTAGAACAGGTTTTGTAATTTTAGTCACCCATTGTAACAAATGTGAGTGTCTGCACTGTTAATCCCCTGTCTCACAGACAGTTTTTCTGCAAAGCTGAATTTGGAACTAAATAGAGGAAGGACTTGACCACAACTTTATAAATATTTTTTTCTTTGGAATAAAGAACTAAGTTGTGTTCGATCATGACATCAGAAACAGGGTAATACAGTGCGAGAATAGTAAAGGATCTATAATTGATGATTATTTTAGCTTTCTTGATCGTATAATCAGGATTTTATTAAAGACAGTAGGCGAATATTTTGCATAACTCTCTTTACTGACTCCCCATAGCAGCAAGGAAACATCACAGAAACAAAATAACCAATAGCAGCACACATCATGTTATAAAGTCCGCCCACACCAAGTGAGGTCATCTTTGTGGAAGCAGTCTTCATGGAGGAAACAGGGACCCAAACTGGGACCAAGGCAAAAGTGGAAAACGAGAATCACCATCCGGAACGCCAAGAGTGGAGGAAGGTGCAGTGAGGTGTTAAACTGAAACAAGAGAAAACAGTGAAAATGTAACAGCAAACCAATAGTGATCAGAACAAAGTAACAGAAAAAATGATTTTCAGTCAGCCATGAAACACAATAAACAACATGTCATGACTAAGGTAGAATTGATGTCCCCATGTTTTATTTAGTATCTGGCCCCACCAGGCCCACCCCCCAACCCCTGGAAAGAATAAAGAGACCACACTCCAATATGGATTTAAATTGGCCTTACCGGCCGTTTATGAAATACTTTAAATAGAAAAATATTCTTTTTTTTAACAAAAACTTCAACGTCAGATAAATGGTTGCAGATCTTTGAAGGCCACACCTTTTTTCTGAACTTCGTTCTCTGCCGCAGTACCAACACATGTTAGGCCCCCAGCCGCAACTCACCGCCTCGGGGACAACCACCAACTGACCGCAGGCACTTCCAATTAATAGGGGACACCATACCAAGACAGGTCCCCAAACATTACCCACCATCACTTAAACGGCCTCCAAAGAACCCAACCGCCACAGCGCTCCAGCGTAACACCTTACAATGGAGCGCTCCTCCAACAACGCAAGGCTCGCTGCAAACCATCCTGCAGCCCAAGGACCCACATGTCGATCACGACCGCAGTCAAATGAACGCCATCGGCCCTAAGATATAGCCCGGGATCTGCTTCCAACTCTAAGTGTCTCACTACTATACCTCCATTTCGCACCACAAATCTGCCGACCTCCTTATTTACCTTTATCCTGGCCTTATTCAGCTTAGCTACTGAACGGGCCAGCCGCCATGTTTGCCTGCTCACAATGTCTGACCACACAATGACCATCTGGGGAAAAGCCCTGCGAAGACCCAGGAAATCAAATTTTACATCTCGAATTAGCTCCCTCATGGAGCGCACACCCAGATCATTACCACCCACATGTAAGACGAGAATGTCAGGGGGCCTGTCTAGCCGGGCAAAGTGTGTAACCTCGGGCACCACCCTGCTCCACAGCATGCCCGGCACACCAATCCATCGCACCTGGGCTACCGCACGCGGAATACCGAGCTGACGTCCCTCTGGCCGAACGTCTGCGCGCTTCTCACCCCAAAAAACGTAGGAGTGCCCCAGGATCCAGATGAGACCAGGCACGTCATCTGAAATAGAAAGCAGAAAACAAACAACCAACGAACAAGGCCAACACTTCACATATCAACAACGCTGTTCGCATACCGCCAGCCACTGCATATCATAACACCGCCAATGCAACCTCACAATAAGTGAGGCCAGATGTAAAGTTTAAATCGCTGCGACTCCCATCTCCCAATGCGGCGCAGCGCTACCTCATCCAATCCCCAGCGGGCAGCTTCGGTTGCCGCACCGATGCGGAATGAATGGGAAGAATACCCTGTTACTACGTGTCCTGCCGCTGACAGGCACTTCCTAAGACCGAAGTAAACTGAAAAAACGATAAAAACGACCCATCAGCTTGCAGCAAGAAAGGACCATCCAACGCCGGCCGCCTTTTCAGGTACTTCGCCACCGCTTGGACCGGACACAAGTGGGAACCCACAATCCCATACAAATGCAACGTGCACCCTTCCCCCTCTGATCCGTCTTGGATCTTCTAATAAAGAGACACACGGAATCCTCCCCTGCTGACACAGCAGCCATCCCCAAACCACCCGGGACCGTTCGTGAGGGACTGATCAGTTCTCTGATGCGCACTGCGCCAAAAAACGCCAAAGTGAAAGCGGCGACAAACAATACAGACTCGAACTCCGATGAACATATAAACCCCAGCTGGCCTATCAGATCACCCAAAATATCAAATGACATCGGACGCCTGGAATCCGGATTGCTACAACCCTTCCGATAACCCTTCATTGCCTGACGAACTCGGAAATCTTTTGTGTAATCAGGACCACCCAAGAGTTTGAATAAGAAGGCCAAAGCCACCAATTTTTTGTTCATGGTTGCCACGGAAACTCCATTAACGAAGCAATGACAGATGTAATACAACACCAAGTCGGGGTCCACTCCCTCCTGTGAAGAAAACACCCACCCCAAGTAAGAAAACACGCCACCCACCCCATACCTTGTAATACAGAGACCATGTAGTAGCACTCACCGAACGCCTGATTAAACCAACAATCACTCTAATGCTATGTTTCATAACCGACTGGGACAAGGGATTCCGTGTTGCTCCGCTCCCGGTGCCAACGCTCGGAACTTGTCCCACTGGAAACGACACAGAGAATCCGCCAAAGAGGTACCCGGAAGATGAACTGCATAAATAAACGTATTTAAACGCAAGCAACAGAACACCAAATGCCTCAGTAATCTGACTACCGGGGACGAAGAGGCAGAATTCTGATTGATCGCCACCACCACTCCCAAGTTGTCGCAATTAAAGCACACTTTTTTGTTCCTGAAAGCCCCCCCCCAACCCTCAACTGCCAAGACTATAGGGAACAGTTCCAGAAGCACCAGATTCTTTAGCAAACCCGCCGCCCTCCATTCGACAGGCCATGGTTCCGCGCTCCAAGAGCCCTGAAAATAAGCCCCATAACCTGCCGCATCCGTAAACAACTCTAGATCGAAGTTGCTAACAGGGCCCTCCAACCAAACAGACCGCCCATTGAACGTATCCAAAAAAACATGCCACACGCTCAAATCGGCGCGGTGGTCCCGAGTTAGGCGAATGAAATGACCCGGCGCCCTAGCACCTGCCATGGCCGCAGACAAACAGCGAGAAAATATTCTACCCATGGGAAGAATGCGACACGCAAAATTCAGCTTGCCCAATAGGGACAGCAATTGCCGTAGCTGATTTTTTTGCCTCGCAATCGCCTCCTGGAGCACCGATTTCAAATCCAGCAACTTGTCATCAGGCAAACGACATTCCATAAGGCCCGTGTCTATCACTATGCCCAAAAAAATTAAAACCGAGGTAGGGCCCACCGTTTTATAGCCGACAAAGGGATCACAAAACGCTCAGCCACATGTTGCAATGTGGCCAGTAAAATACCGCACACCTTGGAGGCGGGGGGTCCGATACACAAAAAATCGTCGAGGTAATGAAGTACTGAATTAATGCCCGACACGTCCCGAACTACCCACTCCACAAAGGAACTAAACTTCTCAAAACAAGCACATGAAACTGAACAGCCCAATCGGCAGGATGCGGTCAACAA